TCCAATTTTTGGTAACTCTTTGGCTCCTTTTAAATCCCTCCTAGTTGACTATTGGCAAATACAGCATGCTTAATTTTATTACCCTGAGTTATTATTATTCAATTTCCTTGGAGAAATATACTTGAAGAAAAACCTGGATGATGGGAGAATCAACTAGAAGCTCCGTATATGTGTATGTATCTCTAATGCCTTTGATTTTCCAACATTTCTAGTTAATTGAATTAAGTTGTTTGCTTAATAACAACCTCAAGGTTAACATACTTCATTTTGAAAGATAAGGCATGGTCAGTAGGAGTGTTAGGTGGGGAAATAGGGCCAATGAAAGATAAGTATAATTGACAGGTACTCAGAGGCTGAGTCTCACTATAATAGGGAAGATGGTAGACTACTGGGTAATTAACTGATAGATTGCTTTTAATACACAATCCTTTTTATTTGTTCTATGTTGCTAACTACTGACCAGATAGATAATGGACCACATGGAAATTACATACATATTCACTACACATGTCCCTCCTTCTTGCCTTTCCTCAAGATGTATGGATAAAAATGTAGATGTTTAAGATTATTCCAAGTAATTGAAGAAACTGATAAATATTGTAGTAAGGAGTCAGCATCTGAAAACCTTTGCTCTGGGTTGGACTCTGAGCCAGGCAGAAGCCGAGCATACATTGTTGTTTTTCTTTGTTGCTGTGAATCAGGATAGCAAAGGTGGTAGAGCCACTCTGTTCTTGAAGTGGTTTATAAAAGGAACATTATTTTAAGAACTAAAGCAGGTCAGAGATTATACTTCACACCATTCAGATGACAAAAGAAGGAAATAACCTTTTTTTTTTTTTGGCTAGGCAATGGGTTAAGTGACTTGCCCGGGGTCACACAGCTAGTAAGTGTTATGTGTCTGAGGTCGGATTTGAACTCAGGTCCCCCTGAATCCAGGGCTGGTGCTCTGTCCACTGTGCCACCGAGCTGCCCCTGGAAATAGCCATTTTTGAAAAGGTAGTGGCAGGATAGGTATATTAATTTGTACCATTCCATCACTGGGTGAGTTGCAACTGTATTCAACTGTGTGTGTGGGGGAGGGGGTATAGTGGGTAATGACAGACATACACAAAAAGAACCTCAACGTGACATTTTAAAATGCACAGAAGAAAATAAAAAGTAAAAAAGGAGACAAATGGAAAAAATGTGTTACTACCTTATCAAAATATATATCATATTATATTTAAATGTTATCATATACATTTTATTCACGTGATATAAATTATGTATAATGTAATATGTATATATTATACATCACATATTATATGTAAACTTATATAGCTATATGATATATGTTAAAATTACATATAATTTAACAAGATAATAAGGAATAATATACAATAACTCATATATAAAATAGAGATGATAACACCATCTCAGATGGTTGTTGTGAGAAAGAAAAATATGTAATACACTTTGCAAATATTAAAGCTTTATAGTTTAGCAATTGTTGTTATTGTTATATAACAGAAGTTCACAGCTTCTAACTTTTCTTTACAGTAGGAGCTCCTCAGTCATGGAAGAAGGGGACAGAACAGCATGGGGCTTCCACCCTGCCTGCATACTTCCTCCCCCTTGGTGCAAATGATGTAGAGAACAAATTCTGTTTTTCTAGCTTCACTCTCCCAGAAGTCCCCCAAAACACTCTCAGAAAGCCAAGTTCAAAGGTGTCACTCAGCTAGCTGCTCCTGGGAGAGTATCTGCTGGAGGTTCTCACTTCATAGTAGTATACATAACACAGATGCTTTAAATGCTACTATGAACACACACAATAGTAGTAACTAGAATACTCATGTACACTTTGTTGGACTGCAAAAAGCACTGGATTTATAGTCAGGAAAGGCCTAGGTTTGAATCTTTGATCCTTACTAGCTATGTGGTTATGTAAAAGTCACTATTTTCTCTGAGCCTTGAATTTTTCATCTGTAAAATGGGTATATTAAACTTTTACTAATATCATCATTCAGGCTTGGCAATCACCAAGTATTCTGAGATTATGCCCCTGCTCTCATGCTTAAGACAATGGCTTTTCTGAAGTTCTACTAATTCCCTCTCTAAGAACTCTGAGTATCAAATGTTCATTTTAAACCAAAACTGGGCTAATTTAAGTCTCTCCTTCAGAAGTGATCAGGAGAAGGGAATGAAAGTAAAGAATATCCATGTGCTAACAAAAATATATCCAATTGGGGAAGTGTCTAGTGGATTGTTATGGGAGTCAGTACTAGTACTGGTCTTAATCAACAAGTTGATTAATAGTGTGTGAGAAAGAATAGAAAACAGTTAATGATATTTGCAGATGGCAGGGAATTCAGAAGAATTCCTTCAATGGGGGAGAGTATTAAGGTCCATGAGGATATCAAAATGTGAGCAGTAATAACCAATAATCAATAAATAGTCAATACATTTTTTTTATTAAACACCTACTATGTACCAGGACAGAGATAGCCAGTGACTCAATGGATAGTGCACTGGGGCCTAGAGTCAGGAAAACCTAAGTCCTAAGTCTGGCCTCAGACACTCACTAGCTGTGTGACTGTAGGCAAGTCACTTAATATCTGCTTGTCTTAATTCACTGGAGAAGAAAATGGCAAACAATTCTAGTATTTTTGCCAAGAAAACCTCATATGGGGTCACACAGAGTCAGATACAATTGAACAACAACATATACCAGGTGCTGTGCTAAGTGCTACGGAAACAAACATGAGGAGCTTGCTCCTGGAGGAAAAAGAAGGAGAAGACAATATATAAAAACATGTGTGTGTGGAATAAATGCCAAATAAGTATAAAATAGTTAAACAGAAAATGGGGATGTGGGATTGAAGTTCAGGAGATGGAAAAGCTTGATATATAGATCTATGAATCAACTGCATGAAGATGGTAATTAAATGTATGAGAGCTTCTGAGGTGACTAAAATCATATATGGAGACAAAAGGGCCCGGTACAGAGCCTTGGGGTATATCTATAATTAGAGGTTGTGACACGGTTGATGATCTCACAAATAAGATGAAAGAGTAGTCAGATAGGAAGGTAGAAGGCTAAATAAGAGAAAGCATTATCATGAAAACCTAGAAAGGAGAAGAAGAGAGGGCAACAAAAAAAAATGTCAAATTCAGCAGAAATGTTGAAAAGGAGGAGGATCATTTATTTGCTAAGTAAGAGAACATTGGTAATTTTGGAGAGAACAGTTTCATTGAATGATGTGATCAAAAATCAGATTGCAACGGTTTGAGGAGTGAGTCACAAAGTAAAGCCAATGATTGTAGATAGCATTTTCTGTTGGTGTGACTGAAAAGGGGTGGAAAGATATAAAACGATAGCTCCCAAGATTCTGGGTTCACACAAATCACACCACACCCTCTTTTCTTTTCTTTTCTTTTCTTTTCTTTTCTTTTCTTTTCTTTTCTTTTCTTTTCTTTTCTTTTCTTTTCTTTTCTTTTCCTTTCTCTTTTTTTCTTTTCTTTTCCCTTTCCTTTCTTTCCTTTCTTTCCTTTCCTTTCCTTTCCTTTCCTTTCCTTTCCTTTCCTTTCCTTTCCTTTCCTTTCCTTTCCTTTCCTTTCCTTTCCTTTCCTTTCCTTTCCTTTCCTTTCCTTTCCTTTCCTTTCCTTTCCTTTCCTTTCCTTTCCTTTCCTTTTCTCTTTTCTTTTCTCTTCTCTTCTCTTCTCTTCTCTTCTCTTCTCTTCTCTTCTCTTCTTCTCTTCTCTTCTCTTCTCTTCTCTTCTCTTCTCTTCTCTTCTCTTCTCTTCTCTTCTTCTTTTCTTTTCTTTTCTCCTCCTCCTCCTCCTCCTCCTCCTCCTCCTCCTCCTCCTCCTCCTCCTCCTCCTCCTCCTCCTCCTCCTCCTCCTCCTTCTTCTTCTTCTTCTTCTTCTTCTTCTTCTTCTTCTTCTTCTTCTTCTTCTCTTCTTCTTCTTCTTCTTCTCCTCTCTCTTTTTTCTTTCTTTCCCACCTCAGAAACTCAGGGGAAATCTCTTATATAAGGCTAAGGTTCATGATTAGATTTCCCAAGAAGTGAGCAAGAAGATCCCCAACTTCCACATGGGTTTTGGGGATAGGGTAGGCTTTCTTTCACCAATCACAGAAATGCATAGGACACAGAGGACTCACTGGAGCCCATTAAGAAATACAGAAACTGTAAATATCCCATTAGACTCTTAAGAAATACAGAAACCATAAATATCCCATTAGACTCTTCAGATTCCCTCTGGAATATACTTTAGCTGATTGGTGAACTAATACTTTGCACTAGCCTCAGATTTGTATTCTTTGAGCAACTCATGACAACTGCATGGTTATCAAGGTCCATGACTTTTGCCCACTTCCCCCTTGGCATAACTTTAGTCCTTTGAGCTCCTCTCTCTGAAGTCTGGTACCCAACTGATTCTCATGATCAGGAACTCGATTTCTTGGGAGCTCTAGAATTTGCATGGAAAGACCACTGTTAGGAACTCTAGTCTCAGGCCTGTGCCTAGAGAAGGAAACAGAAAGAGAGAAGATGGCCAGGAAGTAGAGGTCTGAGAACTCTTATCAGTTTCACTTTTGCACAGGATACCATGCCATGTGTTTCTGTCAATCTCCATACATCCTCTTGGAGGGCAAAGGAAGAAGGAAGAAATCTGTTCTCCCTTTCCTGACCTGCTTCAGCTCTAGTCTGTATGTCCAATAGAGAAAAACCACAGGAAAGGAAAAACTGAAACATTTCACAGCTCACTTTTATAGAAGACCCATACGGAAAAATTGGCTCTTTCTCCCTGCCTCTCAAGCACCAGTCATCTAACAGGCAGTCCCATTTACTGTGGATCTGTCACAGAGTTTCCAGGGTCTTCTCAAGCAAGGTGTTAGAGTACTTGTAAAAATAAAAAAAAAAGAGAGAAAGAAAAAAGAAAGAGAATAGAGTACTTGTCTTTGTTCTAATGTGTCTGAAGGGCACTTTCAGACAAGTACCACACCCTATAATCACAACTGCTTGATTGGAGAGCTTATCAAATTGAGCAGGGTTCTCCTTCAACAGTCTCCTCCCCTCCCCCAGGAACAATCTTTTTTTTTTTTTTGTTAGAGCTACTGTGACAGGCTATGGGGATACAATCATGTCTATTCATAATAACTAACATTAACACTTAGAGGTTTATGAAAAGCTTTAAACATATGATCTCATTAGATCCTCACAATGTTTCTGTGAAGTAGGTACTATTATTACCCCCATTTTACAGATGAGGAAACTGACATTGAAAGAGTCCAAATGACTTGCCTTGGCACACAGGTAGTAAATATCTGGGGCAAGATTCAAATTCATGTCTTCCTATCTCTAAGTGTAGCTCTCTATCCATCATACCCCCTAGATGCTGCTGAAACATGTACAAATATTAGTAAATGCAAAATAGATATGCAAAATAAATACAAGGTAGTTTGTTGAGACGTAAGGAAAATCCAAATGTAGGAGATGGTGCTTGAACTGAACTTTGAAGGGATCTGAGTCTTCTAAGGGGCAAAGAGATAAAGAAGAAATCCATTCTTAGCCTTGTAGCGGAGCAGTTTGTGCAAAAACAGGGAGACATAGGATGTAGAATGTTCTACGTAGAGGACAACAAATAGATCGGTTTAGCTGGACTGCTAGCTGGACTCAGGGAAGTGACATGGGATAAATTTGGATACATTTGTAAAGGTAGGGTAAGTAGTTGGGTAGATTATGAAGATCTTTTGATGATGAGCAGAGGAGTTTGGGTTTCAGCACAGAGGCAATAGTGACCCACTGAAGCTTTTGAGTAAGGGAAAGACATAATCAGAACCATGCTTTAGAAATATCACTTTGGCAGCTATTTGGAGGATGTATTGGAGAGGAGAAAGCCTGGGGATGTGAGAAACAATAAGAAAGCTATTGCAATAGTAAGAGGTGATAATGACCTGGGCCAGGATAGTGACTGTAAATGAAGAGGAGACAACGTGGAGAGCTATTATGGAGTTAGAATTAACAAGACTTGACACTACAAAACATAAACTCCTTGAGAGTGGGAATTGTTTCATTTATATTCTCAGTGCCTAGCACCTTTTCTGGCATATAGTAGGCACTTAATAATTGCTTATTGATCGGTAATAGTTTAAATAGATGGAGGGGGTAATAATGGAGAATGGAGTCAGAGGTGATTCCAAAGTTGCAAACCTGGCTAACAGGAAAGATGGAGCCTTTCTAGTATCTTTGCTGAACTCCAGGAAAGAAAGACTGCCTGGTGATAATCTCTACCTAGACGACCAGTAGGTATCTCAAATTCAATATGTCCAAAAAAACTCATCATCTTCTCCCTCCAATCTCCAATTCCAGCCTTCTTCCAAAATTTCTCATATTAATCAATCAATCAATCAATATTGTGCAAAGTGCTGGGCACTCTGAAGGCACCACTTTCCTTCTAGTCATCAGGATTCAACACCTCAGTCATCTTTGACTATTTCTTCTCCCTTGATAGGTTGCCAAGCTTTGTAAAAATTACCTCTACTACACCTCTTGCATCTGTTCCCTTCTTTCCATTTTTAGACTCCATCCTAATTCAGGTCCTTATCAGGTCATGTGGTGGTCTGTTGAAATGGCCTTGAAATTGGTCTTCCTGCTTTCAACCTCTTCCCTCATCAATTTTTCCTCTAGACAATTGTCAAAAATGACATTCCAAAAGCAGAGATCTGATTTGCTATTCTCTTGCATCTCCAGTGGCTCTCTATTGAATTAAGGGTCAACTACAAATTACATCCTGGCAATTAGAACACTTCACAAACTGATTCTTGCTTACCTTTTCAGATATAGTTCACATTGCTTCATACACTCAATATTCCAGTCAAATTGTAAATTGCTGTTCCTTTGAAACTTGGCATTTACTTATGACTTTGTACAAGCTTTACCCCATGCCTGGAATGTGTCCCTCCTCATTTCTACCTCTTAGAATCCTTACCTTTCTTCAAGGTTGCATCCCTTATAGGAAGAGTTTCCTGAATCTCCCAGTTTTTAAGTACATATCCATATATAGATTGTGCCTTCCAGCAAAGTCTCCTTAAGGTCAGAGACTTTTTAAAAAAATCTTTTTTTCTTCAGTGCCCAGAACTGTCCCTTTCCCAACTTAAATGTGTAGGTTGAGTATCCCTGGAAATTACTACCAGGTTTAAGATGCTCTGTGGGTCTGCACATCTAAAATTTTAGCTCATGAGCCCCCATTGGTACATTTAATTTTAATAATTAGCCAGGGACATAATTAGCTCAGTGCTAGGATATGCTTTTTCTTCTTGTGGTGCCATGATACTGTCCCAGGGCTCAGCATTTCTGTTTGGCATGATGATTTAGTAAGCTACTTGGGTCCGGCACCTGGTGTCTACAGTTAAGAGAGTAGGTCAGCTGAAAGATACCATGGCCCTGGTGGAGCAGAGGGGAGGGAAGGAAGAGAAATCATCTCCCACCCAAAAGGAAAGGGGAAATTCTCTCTTTTCTCAACTGTCAGAGCACATTCTGTCCAGAGCTCTTTCCTGCCTAGACTCACTCTTTAGTGAACTATTATTTGGCTCAGGATTTGAAGCTTGTGTGATCTCTAGTAAGTTGCTTTGGATTCATTGCCTCTGAGCTAGGCTGGCTATATTCCTCTTACCCCCACATTGTGTTCCAGGGGTACCCCTAAGATGTTAAGCCTAGAATTCCAGTGGGTTCCCACCACTAACAGCGGTCATTAATCCCCAAATCCATTTACCAATTATCATCAATTAACTTTTACAATAGGATATTCACATGAAAAATACATCCAAACAGAAGTATAAACTTTTCCCTCTAAGACTTTGAGGGGTGAGGTATACTCTACCTTGTACTATAAGGTATACCTTCTACCTTCTACCATGTCAGTTCCTGGGGAAAGGTGACTCAGCCTTAACACAGTTGCTACATAGCATTTGCACCACCAAGTTCATATCTAAATATAGCATTGCTGTTGGATGAGTCTCCATCTCAGCTGTCATTCTCCTCCTTGGTTCTGACTGACTGCAAAGTCTTGCATGGACTCCAGTCCCTGACCTCCTGGTGGCTCATTTGCCTGATATATTGGAGTTCACAAGGTCACAGCCAGCTCCAGTTCACTTCATCTAAAACAGGAAAAAAACAAAGTCAAGCCAGGAACCAAGGCCAGTATTCATGGGCCACATGTCAACCTCAGATGAGTAGGGACCAGGACCTTTTCCCTTGCAGAATTCTCTCTCTCTCCCTCTCTCACCAGAATGTGGCCAGGCAACAAGTAATCAGCCGAGGTGGGAGAGGAGGGGTGAGAGGCAGGCCCAGGCTGACTAGGAACTTTTGAATACACCCCAGTTTTGCTCCTCTAGTCAATCAGAGGCTCCTTTTTTGCCATGTGGTTAGCAGATTGGAAACAGTTACACAATGTTTGTGCACCTCCAAAATCCATGAGGGGATCATATCAGATGAGCATTTTGGGTTCATTGGCTAGTCCCTATTACATGCAAAATAAGAGAATTGTACAAGATGTTTTTTTAAAAGCCTGTTCCACTTGTACATATTATGATCCTAGACTCTTTCTAGATAAGTTTTGTTTTTAGTTTGAAGCCAACAAAAATAACTCAGGTTTTAGCTGATTAGGTTTTTACCATAAGGCTTATTTTTGCTTTAATCAGGAACTCTGATTATGAAAAGTCTTCAAGCCCCCTAAGGATGGAGGACTAGATATCCTCTGGGACTATTTTCAGCTTTAAGTTTTATCAGTATTTGTTTGAGTCAGTTTAAATTCCCATTGAGGTAGTGAGATACAAAGAGTACCAGGGTTGGGGAATCTGTAAGGTCGAGGCCACATGTGCCCTCTAGGTCCTTAAACGTGGCTGTCTGACTGAATCCAAAATAAGGTGGTTTTTTTATTCCCGGTCCCTTGCTGTTCGACACTACTCAGGAGGGCTGGGAAGGTCTTTCTGCTAATAGAACATCCTAGTTGTAAATCCCACTTCACAGATTTACTGGTTGTGTGATTTTGTATTAATCATTTAGTCTATCAGAAAATTAGTTTCCTTCTCTGTAAAATAGGAATAATATTCTGACGCTTTAGAATTTGCTGCCATGACTCAACTAACTTCTCACGCTGGACATTTCCTGGGTGCCTGGGACCTTCTGGAACATCCTTTGGCAATACTCATCTCATTTACCATTGATGAGTTCTTCCTGGGATCTCCATTTTGGGGACAGGCCCAGGCTGGTCATGCTTCATTGACAGCTGTGCTTCTGACTCTATGAACTTTGCCACCATGCCCATGCCCAGGTATCCCTAATTATACTTCTCTCTTTCCTGCTCCTTTTCATGTGTTGTCTTTCCCCATTAGAATAATGCTCTTGAGGGCAGGGGTTGTATTACTTTTTTGCCTATAGTTGTATCCCTAGAACTTAGCACAATGCCTGGCACATAGTAGGTGTTTAATAAATACTTGTTGCCTTCCTGCCCTAGCTATCTCCTGGGTTGTTGTGAAGAAAGTGCTTGCAAATGTTAAAAGTTTTATATGAATATGAATTGTTATAAATTTCGAAGGTTTAACCTAGTTATCTTTGGATACAAAGGAGGAATTTTTATGGGATGAAGTAACTTTGAAAGGCAGTGGTGGTTTCGTGGATGGAACCCTGGATGGCCTGGGTTTGAATCTAGGCTCCGTCACTTACTGGCTTTGTGTTCCTGGGCAAATCTTTTAATGTTTCTAAGTCTCAGTTTCTCCTTTGTAAAATGAGGATAGTAATAGCATATTTGGGGGCAGCTAGGTATTGCAGTGGATAAACTGCTGGGCTTGAAATCAGGAAGACTTTTTCTTGAGTTCAAATCTAGTCTGGGACACTTAGTAGCTGTGTGACCCTGGGCAAGTCACTTAACCCTGTTTGCCTCAGTTCCTCATCTGTAAAATGAGCTGGAGAAGGAAAGGGCAAACCAGTCCAGTATCTTTGTCTAGAAAACTCCAAATAAGGTCATGAAGAGTCAGCCATGACTCAATAACAAAAACAACAACAATAATAGCATATACCTCACAGTGTTGTGAGGATTAAATGAGACAAAATATGTTAAGTACTTCATGAAATCTTAAGTAAGGTGCCATATAAATGCCAGTTGTTATTAGTAGAAGCAGTATGGTCAGAAAATAAGAGTTTAGAAGGGAGGTAATGTGGTGTGATGGAAAGAACTCTGAATTTGGAGTCAGAGAACCTGGGTTTGATTCCTTGCTCTCAGGCCACCTAATGGGACCTTCTGCATTTTACTCTGGCTTTCAATTTTGTCAACTGTAAAATGAGAGGTTAGATTATATCAGGGTTTCTAAAGTTTTTTGTGTGTGTTATGGCCCCTTTTTGTAGTCTGGGGAAGCTTGGGGACCCCTTCTCAGGATAATATTTTTAAATAACTGAAGGAAATGATAAATTTCAGTTAGAAGTTACCAAAAATAAAAATTTAATTCCCCCCATTCATGTTCCTGGACCCCCTCAAATCTGTCCATAGACCCCTGGTTAAGAACCCCTGGATTAGATGTATCTCTAAGGCTGCTTTCAGTTCTGAGCCTGGGTTTCTAACAGAATCACTCATTTGCAAAGCTGTGCCTGGTGGGGTTGGAGACCAGGCACTGTGTGCTTCTTTCCAAATCATAGGAGTACTGATGAAGTCAGGTTAAAATAAATACTAATGTAGACATGCAGCAGGGAAGTTAGAAAAGGTCAGCCTGAGGCATGTGTAGAGAAGGAATAAGAAAAGTTCTACCTCTTTGCCTTGAGGAGGGAGTGGTTTGATGTCTGACCATCCAGGATATGTGTTTAAAGGCATTTTAAACTCCAGCAACCTAGCCTCATTATTATCCAGCACTTTGTATTTTTCAAAACTGATGGCTGCTTTACCACTCTGGTTCGCTGTAACAACAATAACAACAACAACACACTGAAATTATCAATTAAAGCAGGGCTTCTTAGTCTTTTTGTGACATGGATCCCTTTGGCAGCCTGGTAAAGTCTATGGACTCTTTTCTCAGAATCATGTTTTAAAATGAATAAAATAAATATATCTGATTAAAAAGGAAACCAATTATATTGGCATGTGTGAATATATATATATATATATATATATATTTTATATGAGTTACATATACTTACATATGCACATGTGTGTATATCTATCTAGCTATCCATCTATATTGTTCATGGATGGCAGGATAAGAACCCCTGCTTTAAAGTTTAGAAAATAAATTAAAACTTTCTTTATAACAACCCTATGAAGTAGGTAGCATATATATCATTGTTCCCATTTTACAGAAGAGGAGGGCAAGGCTCAGTTTAAGTGATGCCATGGCCACACAACTGGTAAGTGCCAAGGCTGGAATTAAAAAAAAACAGATCTCTTGACTTTTGGTTGCTTGACTCCATCCATGTTTACCCTGCCTCCTCATTTCACATGATCTGTTCTCAGTGGGTGCTAAGGTGTCAGTTTGTTCTCTTGATGAACAGTGCATTGACTTTTAAATTGAACCTTTTGAAAACGATGCCTTAACTCAAAAGAATTAAATTAAGGGTAGACATGTCAAGCAGTGAAAGAAGTTTACCTCAAATACTTTGAAGCAGATAGGGTTTTGTACTGTCCTTCAATTAGATTATGTCTGGCTTAGTGTCATCCCTCAGTAGGGAGATGCTCTGGCTAGAGAGGTGAAATTTTTTAGGAATTACTTTCCACATCTCTAAATATTCTAGGGAGTACCCTAAAGTGAAGACTGGGATGTGAGGACAACACTTGGCCATTCTCCTGCACAGAAGTTATTTGGTAGGGGATCAGGGGTTCTTAACCTGTTTTGTGTCCTGGGACCCCTTTGGCAGTCTGGTGGAAGCTTGTAGAATGAAATACTTAAGTTTATAAAGGAATCAAAATATTTTTTAACTTCATACATACTACATTAAGAACCCTTGCTAGATATTACAACCCTCACCACAGCTTTTTGGGGGGTGATCAAGAAGTCAAGAGTCCAGAGACAGCTTTCTATGATTGCCTTGGGAGTTGTCATAGTGGGGGTCATCAGAGTTCACTTCTGGGTGCTTGCTGCCTTGACTAAGAAGTCTCCTATTTTCTGTATGATCCTGGGAAACAATCTGATTCAACCTTCATGTAAAAAGAAAATGCTAAGAAGAATTCTGTTTACTGGTGATAAAATATTTTATTTTATTTTAGCTCTGTCTTCACAGTCAAGTTTATAAACCACAGAAGAAAATCAGACCCCTTGCTTTGTTAATATTATTTTTGTTTTTAGTCATTAGATTTGATTATTTCTAAAAATCTATTCTTCAAAGACAGAGAGGTGCCACCCCTGAGGATATTGGCAATTCCAAATAGTGGGTTTCCAAAATATTTCAAGACATGCTAATATACAAATCTCCTAATAAGACAACTTCACTGGGGCCAGGACTCCTGTGAATGCACAATTTCTCTTCAATTTTTTTTTAATGTTACCATGTAGTCCTACCTTTCAAGGTACTTATTTGTAGACACAAAGATGGGGATAATCTTTAACATCTCAGAGGAGGTTTTGATTTGAAGTGCTTCTGCTGGAAGGAAGGAAACAAGCATTTATTAAGCATACCTATTGTGTGCCAGGCACTGTGCTAATTGGCTTTACAATTATTATCTCATTTGATCTTTGTAACAACCCTAGGAGGTAGGTGCCTTCCCGTTTACAATGCAGAAAACTGAGACAGAACAAGGTTAAATGACTTGCCCAACCAAGGTCACACAGCTAGTAAATGTCTGAGGCCACATTTGAACTCAGTTCTTCCAGACCCAGGCCTGGCGCTCTCTGCACTATGGCGCTGCCTAGCAGCTTTATATATATGTTGCCCTAATATTACTTTGTCAGATACAACGTTTCTGTCCTGATGGGCTGATTGAAGAACATTTCTATGGGTGAGAATCTGAAGTCTGATTGAATGTCTTGCCTCTTTTAAGTCTGCCAACAGAGTAACCGTATGCTAAACTTGTACATAATGTACAAGCTTCTCAGTAATTTATAGCTTGTGCTCAGTATAATGTTATTTGGTGTTGTACAGTGGTATGTTTGTGTGCTCTTATGTCCTTTTTCATGTTTGTCAGTGCTAGTGACACCCATCTCTGATCATAAGCTCCATGGGTACAAATGTCATGTTTAAATTATTTGTCTGTTGGCCAGCAGAGAACCACGTGTAAGTGGAAGCTTAACAAGGATCATAAAATTGTAGTCATTAAGACAAAATATCATTTACTAAATACTGTTGACTAAATGTCCTCTGAGATAAGTCTGGATGCTCCATGGATATACTAAAAGGGACACAGGCTTTTTCTTTTAGGACACTTCATTGTAAAACATAGTACAATTAGTAGTTATGAAAAAAGATCACCAAGACTAAAGCTCACCCTTTGTTCTCCCTCCCCTAAGAAGGGCTAGTTGACAATACCAGTGATATCATGGGGTAGTACCAATGGAAAGATAAAGGAAGAAGTGAGAGAATGATGCTATAAGTCCTAGAATCTTCCTCTTTCACACAATATTTGGTCAATGGCTACCCACTAAGAGCTAATTTTGTGATTGTGAACTCCTTTAGGCCAGGGACTATCTTTTGCCTTTCTTTGTATCCTCATAGGACAGTCATTAGATTGGTTATTTCTAACTAGCACAGGGCCTAGCCCATGGAAGGCAATTTATAAATATATATTGACTAATTGACTGACTAATTTCTACCTCGATTTGTCCTTCATCAATAATGTTGGCTGCACAAATTATGGGGTAGAGCTCCCATGGCCCGGGCCATAGAAGAAAGTTACTGTGTTGGCCATCGATCTCCACACTTAACTGATTCTGTCAACACAGCCCTCCCAGAAGGGCAGGGGAAGTGTACTCAGTGCACCAGCTGAATCTTGAATGAAGCCAGGGAAATCCTTTTGCTGCTCTAATAAATAGGAGGGGGCAGAACATTCCAGGCAATGGGAATAGCCAGTGCAAAAACACGGAGACCAGAGTGTTGTCTTTTAGGAACTGCAAATGGGTCAGTGGAGCAGTATTATAGAATGGGTGGAGATTAACATTTAAGAAGACTGGAAAGGTAAGGATTCTGAAGGTGATGGGGAGTTAGAAGAGTTCACTGAAGAGATGTGTGTGTGTGTGTGTGTGTGTGTGTGTGTGTGTGTGTGTGTGTGTGAGAGAGAGAGAGAGAGAGAGAGAGAGAGAGAGAGAGAGAGAGAGAGAGAGAGAGAGAGAGAGAGAGAGAGATGGTCACACCTATGCTTTAGAAAAACAGCCTTGGCAGTGGAAGGGAGAATAGGTTGGAATCAGATTAGTCCCATAAATGTATACCTACCAGGAAAAATGTTTCAACAATCCTCTCTCACCAAGAAAAAGATCTCTATCTCAGCTGAGGCTCAGTTCTGGTCATTATCATTATTGGGCGGGCTTTGTGATTGAGGTATGAAACACTCTTGGCAATCTTTTGTATCATGTTATGCTCCTTTTACATGACTTAATACAGTTAAGGTGCCTTGTCATCAAAAAGAGAGAAACAAAAACTAAAGTATTTGCTCGATTAACTGCAGTGAAGGATAAGGCATCACCGCAGTTAACCTCTAACCCCTTTTCATTCAGTTTTGGAGAAGGCCTGTATTTGAAAGCAGGGGGTGCTGGCAGCAGTCTCATTTTCAGTACTGTATTTCACTTAGCCTCATAAATTACATATTCCCAGGACATACCAACTAAATGCAATCCACAAAGTGGATAATCCACATGCAGCTAAATCTAGAATTATCTTTTTGGTTTTATATATATGGACATGTGTTTTAAGTTAAGGGAGTATTACAAATATATCTTAGAACAATAATCTTTCCATAAACAAAATCAGAGAAATGGTACATTTCAATCAATCACAACTGGTAACTTTGCTATGTCTGTGCCTTGGTTTCCCCAGCTACAAGACAAAGAAGTAACATGTAACCACTTATTTTTATTACTTAGTTGGCAGTGGTAAAGACTAAGGTTCTTCTGGGCTGTAGTACAGTGGTTTGAAGAGACATATTTTGATAGATGGCTTTTGAAATCCTTTTGCTGCTCTAAATCTATGATGGTATGACCTTTATGGTTTGCCGCGTGCAGATATGTATGTGAGTTACGTAGTTTGAATTTAGTCACCTCTTAGATGAAACCATATATGAGGAAAAAAAACCACCATGATATTTTTCAAGGACAATAATTATGAGAAGTATTGTGAGGTAGTAGAGTAAGGAAGATGTGGATTCACAACCTGCTTTTCACACATACTGGCTATGATGTGTGACCTTGGACAAGTCATTTAACCTCTTTCTAACACTCTCTCCAAGATTTTATATTTCAGAGAAATTGCCTATCTATCATCTGTTGGTAGAGGGACTTTCCTGACTAGAGAGCTCCCTATGCAGATGAAATCTAAGGTCTAGACAAAGAAACAAAGTTAAATATTAACATATTATATAAATCTTCCTTACATTCCTTGTATTCTGTTGGATCACTGTTTTTGTAACTCTATTGTGTCAGAAATCTTATATGTAAGTTAATAAAATGTCAGTGACTGTTGTTGTTCAGATGTGTCAGACTCTTGCTGACCCCATTTGTTTTTTTTTTCTTTTGCAAAAGATACTGGAGTGATTTACCATTTCCTTCTCCAGCTCATTTTTACAGATGAGAAATTGAGGCAAACAGTGTTAAATGACATGCTAGTCACACAGCTAGTAAGTGTCTGAGGTTGTATTTGAACTCATGAACATGAGTCTACCTGATTCTAAGCCCAGAACTCATCCACTGTGTGATCTAGCTCCTCTCAGTAAGTGATTAATAAATGCTGAATAATAACTGATTTTTGAAATTCTACAAAGGTATTTCAAACATATGTAAGACCTTTGAAACAAGAAAACATAACTATGAGCATTTAAAATATGTAACTCTTCAAATCATAAATATGGTAAGAAATAGTCCATAGGCCATATCTGGAATTCATAAAATGGAGGTTGGTATTTGTGAAGTGTTTTGAGGGTGGCTAGTTGATATTTCTGATTCATCATGCCAGAATGCCATTTATCTCTGACTCATAGCTAAAGTTCCTTCATGGCTATAGAAACCTGCTGTTGGCATGTAGTACTGAGGGAATCTGACTCCATTTAACCTGTGAGGTTTAACAAGACCATAGCCTGAAGGTTGTAAGGCTATGAGCCATACCACTATCTCAGGCTTTTGATGACACCATAAACCACTTGAAATTTATGATGTTAGCAGATGCCATTAGATATGTATGTGCACAGGTGCAGCTTGTAATTAGTGAAAGAAGGCAAACTGTGTATACATATATTTATTTTTAAACACACACACTCACAAAAGTTTAAAATTTTACAACGGATACCTGTAAATTTGAATCATTCATCTACCTGAAGGCAGGGGCAGGCTAAGGTGATGTCTTCAGGACCATTCCAGATCCAGATTAGTCTATGTACAATGAACAGCTATATTCTGTGGAATAGATACTGTGTTTATTTTGACAGTGTTATGGCCATGAAGAAAGGGCTTAATATATTATAGTTGAAGTCTTCCATAACCAATGAATAGTCAAGATAGCCACTGGTATTTATTATTTATACTTGGTCTTAATTTGAAAGAAAACGTACTGGATAAGTTTCCTCCATACCTCAGTAAAAACCTCCTATTAGTACATTTATAATTTAATGGAAACTATTGTCAATAAGGAGATGTAGCATACATTTAACCTTCAAAGCAAAATGTAGGTGCTGTATAGGCTCTTCCTCATAAGCTTATCTAAATATGGCAAAATGCTTTTTGACAAAAACATTTGTAACTATTATTTGACAGTCTATCAGTATATGGATCTTGAATTCTGTAACATGATGCTATAATTTTATAAATTATGAAATTATTGGTAAATAATTTTAACATCTGATATACAATTAGCTTAATATTAAAATTATCAAATGTTTTAATGAATTTATAAAGTAATAGGCTTAGTTAAAAATGAATGTTAGTTTTAAAACAGCCTAAATGCCATAATCTAATTATGTTTATTAGTTATTATGTACTGTTTAATACCATTTAAAAAATGTATCGATGAAACTAAAAACATGCTTACTCTATTTTTTTAAAGAAACATAGAAGCCAAAATAAACACCTTTGCAGTAATAACTGAAAATTACTGGCTTGGTTGGGATAGAGGAATTACTTCAATTGTGATATAAAGCAGTGTAGTAGTGCATGCCTTCTAGAAATAATTATATAGTGATTATTTTCAAAGATAAACAAACACACAGATGTGCAAGTTTTTAAATTCTTACTTTGCAAAAAATATATATGTATATATATACATACATATGTATATATACATACATATATATATGATTAATTTAATTATGAATGGAGCAAAAACATCCAAAGCTTTAGTCTGCTTGTAGAAGCTTCTTTTAAGTTCTAATGGATGACATGGCTTTAACTTAAGGCAGAAAAATTACTTGTTCTACTGGAATCACTTCAGTGTAGAGAGCCAAAGTGCCTAAGTGGTTTTTGAATAGTGCTTATTTTTGTAGACATTTCCTTGATGACTAATTTTGATGAATAAATGATGCAATTTTTTTAAAAAAGACAACCATAAAAGAGAATATTTTGGACTTTAATCATATTGTTCGAAAGGCCATTAACCAAAGTGATCCTAAATCAAAAAAGATCCATTTATTTAAAAGCGTATGCTAATGTATATACATTTATTTACCTATATGCCCAGGTTAATGTTAGAAATTAGCTGGCTACTCTGGATATTAACCAATTGGGAATTCTAGCTTAAGAACATATGCAAAGTGAGTATAAAGTAATGAGACCAATTTCCATAAGCTACACATTAAAGTATGTTTGACTGTATAGTCAAACCCTGTATAAAATATAAGTGTGATATAGTTTTCTTATTTGACAGATAAATAGGAGGAAGAATGATCAGAATAGGTGTGTGTATGCTTACAAGCCTCGTGTGTTGAAAGGACATGTAAATAAAAATATAATCTATGAAATGTTCAAAGTGACATACAATAGTATTGTTTATTACTATATAATATGCTTGGGGGGGTGGAAATCAAATAACAGGTGACTCTAAATCTAGACTCATCTGTTTTAATAATAGTCAGTTGAGCTTAGATAGCTTTGGAAACCTACTTCTTTCTGCTTTCTGCTTTCCTTCTCCCTTTCTTATTTTATATAGCACCTCTCTTGAATAACACTAAATACTTTACATAGCATCACCTCTTTCTTCACATGAATTGTCCTGTGTGTTCTGAGGAACTGGTAGCTTAGCTAAGTGACTTCAAGGAACAATGATAGCAATCCTTTTCAGGACTTTTTCAGCCCTGTCTAAACCAATGACAAAAGAGAATTTTCAATGCATTTTCATTAATGCTCTACAGTCTGTTTTTATAGTTGTTTTATTTATTATTTTAATTAGCATTCATCATCGGTAAGTAGCTATTTAATCCTAAATTTTAAATGCATACAAACAAATAAATGGCTACAGTATGATCTTAACTTAGGCAAAAAGACCTATTATCTACTCAGTTGATTATCTAGGCATCATAGTTTCTGGTTATAACACATATTTATTGGATGGTTGTATTCTCTGATCCCTGGGTAGGAAAGTAATCTAACATTTCTTTTCCTCTGGATGCTATATAAAAGTGTATGTGTGTGTATACATGTATACATGTGTATATATATATATGTATATGTATATATAAAGTTGTATATATGTATATATATATATAATTTGTATATATGTATACATATATATGTATAATGGGAAAAGCCTAATCATTTCCCACTTATGTTTACCCCTTTATTTCCTCTCTCTAGAATATTTATGAAAGGTTAGCATTATAAAAGTTAAACACCCAAATTAAAATTGACAATTGACAATCTAGCATCAACTCTGGCTTCTTACAAATTCTAGTGTATCGGCATCACCTTGAGAGTTTCTCAGTTTTATTGTTTAAAAAAAATGTTCTAAGTATGTGTAAGTATGTACTTAAGTATAATGTTCTCAGTAAGAAAATAGGAATGGGGTTTGCAAAAGCATCTGTATTTAATACTGTGCATTGCAGGTTCTATGAAGCAGAAGTATGTTGTTGAAGCTCTTCTGGACTTTTGGGATAAACATAATTGGGATAAAATACTGACATGCTAATATTTAGTAGAGAGATAAGAACAATTCGTCTGGAGCTATTCTGGTCCCACTGGTAATCATATAATTGAACAGGTTTTTAGAGGATATTTGAAGCCATTGTTGTCCCTTGTGTGATTACATAATTAGTCAGCATCACTGTATAATAAAATCTTCTAAAAATGTGTGTGGAGTAGTATGGTATAATTTCCAGACAAGGCATTCCATTTTCATTTGAAAATTTCTTCATATCTGATTTGTCTAATATTTGAATTGAAAAAACTCATAATTTAACTTTTAAATATATTTTCATTAAATGATCATGTTTTTAAAAATGAAACAAAACAATGGATATTTAACTGAAGAACAAAGAAACGACTTTATGGCTATTTGTTAATTAAAGCTACTTTAGAGAAGAAAATCCATAGGCCCAGTTCTAGTAAAAGATGCCTCTTTACTTTTAATCACTTAATATCTAATATTACTTCTATGTAGACATACACTTATACTTTAGTCACTAAGTAGTTTCAAGTTACTTTGTTTTAAGGATAACCAAGTCCCAGATCAACTTTTTTTTCACAGAGAACAAATGTAGCCTTGGAAAGAGGATCCCCGAAAAGTTGCTAGAAAAAAAAACACCTCGCCTGATCTAGTAGTCTAGATGCTAATATATTTTTTATATTCTTTTAACAGTTAAAACCCAAAGCAGTTACTGAGACATCATCATCCCTATTCTGCTAAGCCCTCTTGCAGAGGGACTGCACGCTGTCTCCAGTAGAAAGTACACCCCAGATACACACTCAAGAATCACACAAAGGCAGGCATACAATCCCCATCGAGAGTCACACAGAGTGCCTCTCTCTCTCTCTTTTTCATCGTCACTCTCACCCTCACATATACTCACACCCGCTCCCCACCCCCCTACTTTCCCACCCCCCAAACCACAGCAGCACAAAGACCAAACACCACACACACACACACACACACACACACACACACACACACACACACACACACACACACACACACACACACACACGGTGAGGCCAGAGAAATCCAGTGCCTTCATTGGTATCATATACAGTGCTGATTTCAGGGGGGCGCTTTGACCCGCATGCTGCTGACCAGACTTCAATGCTGGCTGCCCCTTTGGCTTTCTGTAGCTCGCTTGCTCTCATTGGAGGCTTGAGATATGAATATGCAATAGCTATTTCCCCAGATCCCTTCCCCCTCCCTTCTTTCTGGTATCTCACTCAGCCGCCAGGCGGAAGCGAAGAGCTGCGCTTTCCAACAGTTCTAGGAGGGTGGCTGTTTGGGGGACTGAGAGGAGGCGGAGGAGGAGGAGGAGGAGGAAGAGGAGTTGGAGAAAGAGACGAAAAAGTGCGAGAGGGAGAGCGGGTGGCCTCGGGAGAGGAAAGGGTGTTTTGGTGGGTGGTGGTTAGAGGGAACCACCGCCGCTGTCCAGGCCAATCAGAGAGAAGCGGAAAGAGGCCAAGTACGCAGCCCGGCTCTAGTATCGCCAGCGCGATCTGCAGGGCCGAGCCAGACCCAAACTGGGGGGAGGGGAGGGGAAGAGAGAGAGAGAGAGAGAGAGAGAGAGAGAGAGAGAGAGAGAGAGAGCTAGGAAGAATAAAAGAGACAGCACTATGCACATACATCACACAGAGAGAAGCCTAGCTAAAAACGAAACGAAACGAAAGACCCCCCCCTCAAAAAACAAAATAAAAAACAACTGCAGTAGCAACCCCCCCCCCGCAATCAAAATAAAAGAAAACTACAAAACAAAACAAACAAACAAACACAAATCCCGACCCTGAGCTCAGCCTGTCCTGGACAGCGTTCAAGCCAACCACCAAAAACTACTTTCCAGAATTGCAACTGAAAGAGGAAGGAAGACTGCAAATTCAGAGGGAATGAGGGGGAGGGGAGGGGGTCTGCTCATTGACTTTGACTTTTACCGCCTTTTCCTCTCTGACCGAGAGCTCTCTTCCTGTGGTGGAATTGCAGAAATAATAATAATAATAACAACAACAATAATATCTGCTGTCCACTACTGGAAATTAAAACAAAACCAAAAAAGCAACACAAAATCAGCCCTTCAGGAAAGCATTACTCTCTTTGTACCTGAGAAATGTGAAGCCAGCGGCCCTGTGTTATGTTAGAGATTCAGAATCCTATCCATTTAATGCAGTACAATGCAATGGTATGTGGCGTGGAGATGATAGATTGTATTTATTTGCTTTTTTTCCTCCCTCTCCTTCCCCCCCCAGATTATCTTTCTGTGTGTGTGTTTTAAAGGGGATAAATCGCACATCTTCCTAAAATGCTAATATAATTTGTTTTGCGGTTGGGATATGTGGATTGTACATATATGTTATATGTAATTGTATGTGTGTTTATGTGTATTTGTTTTTGGCAGCTTTTGTATATGGGTTACACTTTTATGCCAGGAATCAGTGGATGGGAGTGTTCGTCCAAAAAGTGCTGAACTTGGCACATTTCCTGCTCCAACTTCCACCTTCCCTTCCCCTCCTCTCCCGCCCCCCCTCCCTCCCTTCTCTGGCAGGCAACTATCAGTTAAGCCCTGGAAAGGATTATATGTGAGAACGTTACTTTAGTTGTACCTTGTAGCCAATTCTCTTTCTTGCTTGTTGCCTCACGGTTTTCTTCTTTTCTCTTCTATTTTAGGCACAGTATTTCTCATGTAGGCTGCCCACTTTCACTCCTAATGCATACCTTTAGTTTGGAAGAGGGAGACAATTATGAAGGGAAATACCATTAATACTCTGTTTGGTATGTGTTGGTTTTCTATCGGCATGTGTTTTAAAATTTCATTTCCAACGATGTTGTAGTGTCAAACTGTAGTGGTATTTTTCTTTCTTTCCTTTTTTTTTGTGCGTGTATGTTTGTGGGGGCTAAAATTATAAAGAATTTCTTCCCTCTTCATTCCCCCCCCAATATTTATTTCACCCTGCTGTTTTGCTGTGAGATTTCCCCCCCCCCCTACTTAAGTCTGTGTGTGTGTCTGTGTCTGTCTCTCTTTTCCCTTGTCCTCTCTTCGCCAGTATGTCTGGGCCACATTTTAATGCACAATATCCCATCCATTAAGTTGTGGTTGAATGCGGAGTGTGTGAGGACTTGGCAGCTCTCAGGTTGAAGGGGGCGGGGAAGCCAGCTTCGACTTTGACACAAGATGCCGAAGTGGCGTGATCTGAATTATTATTAGGGCTGTGAACATGGCCATCTCCTCCTCCTCCAGTTGGAAGAGCTGCCATCGAACTTGAGACGAGACAGACAAGATCTCCAAGTTTTGTTTTTTTTAAGTACAGTAGCTGGCAGGGAAAAGGCGCCAAAATACACAAGATTAACTCTAACTTTCTTTGAACTGATCTCAGAGTACCATTCCATGTAACTCTAACTTTTGTTAAGTGGGGGGAAAGTTAACTTTTGAACCCACATTTGAATAGATATTTGTCAGCCCTAAAATGCGATTAACACTCCCCCATTAACATATTTTTATTTATGTGTTTGGGGAAAAACGTTTGTGTAAATAAGTGTGGTATGTGAATGTATCAGTCAAGGGAGTTCAAGATTTAATCAATATCACAATTAGTGTGCAGTACATTTACTGTATGCAGGAGAATAGATTTCAGTCCATTGTGACGCTGAGAAACTGACCTTTATGCAGCCTGAGTAAAAACTGCTAAGAGTTGTGAAACACAAAACGTTGTGGTTTATGGTTTTACATTTGAGGTTTGATGTTTTCATTTAATGGTCTGGAAGATGGGGAAAGCCTCAGTGCTGAAAAGTTCCTATTAAACCAGATGTGGACAAAGGTCAAGCACTTATACTCATTGATACAATATCCTGCATATTCCTACTTTATTGATGGGTAGCAGAGGAAAAACTGCTGAGCAGTAAAAGTATTTGAGTGCTAATTTTAATTTATCTTTGTGATAGCATTTCTGTCCACTTGAAAATGTTTTTTTTCCTGAGTGTACTGAATTTTATAGCCATGACATTTTTTATTAAAGCAAATAAGAAATTGATTAGCCATTTTCCTATGTAAATGTGGATAATTTCATTGTTTGACTTCCAAATTAAATTTTCCCATTATTTTTCATCAGACATTTTAATTGTGCATGTATTTAATTTTAATAGTCAGACACATCAGTAGTATAATTATAGGCTAAATGGTGATATAAACATCTGTAACTGTTCTTTAAGATTCTGATATTACAAAGAAATGGCAAAATGTCATTTAATTCAGTTATTTACCATGTTTTCTAAGTATAAAAATATTTTAGAGAAATTCTGCTTGTACAGTTATGTAAGAAAAATAGAAAATGTATTTACTGTGTATTTCCTTAATAAGTGGTTTCATTTTTTAAAATCCCTTGTAATATGTCCTCTTACTTAACTTTGAAAGTGACTATTTCTGAATTTATATCTAGTTTTGAATTTCTTTTCACTTACAATGACACCTCTAAAAGGACAATTTGGAGGAGGGGGCCAGCAAATTTAACTGAGTTACCCTGCACAGTACAGTATTTTTTGGTACTTAAAGACTTTTGAAAGCAGAGACCCCCAAACATCCATTTCCAAAAGTTATATAAATGTATCTGCTTGCCTATTTTCATAGATCAGAATGGCATATTTTAGTGGGTAACACACTGACTTAACTGTGGAAGTAAAAATATTATATCAATTTACTCTAAAGAGCTGGTACCCAGACAAACAATTGTAATTCTTTCCAAAGTAGTTAAGGATGTTACAGAGTGTACATTATGCACACACACACACACACACACACACACACACACACACACACACATACATATATAGTGAATGAACTAGGTAATTAAAAACAATTAGTTTGAGACACCAAAGTAAAACTGAAGTCTAAACCATGCAAAAGGTAGAGTGCTCCATGGGTAATACTGTACAAAGATTTCTTTGGAGTTTCAGGAGATGTAATTTTAGTTTCTGAACTGACTCGGCTCTTTACAGCAATGCATAGGGGCTAATCATTAAGACTGCACTGAGAATCAGTTCAGAGTCTATGTTTGGAGTTTCAGTTTGGAAATAAAGGTGCATAAAATGTAGACAGACAGTGAGACATATACATACATTTATATATAGGTGTGTAATATGTATATATGTGTATATATGTGTGTGTATATACATACATACATATTTATATGTATTTAAATCCTGGTATTTCAGCAGTAACATTATTAAAAGGAACATTTTTGTCATTTAGATTTGACCTCAGGGGACACCAAAGAGCTCCCAGTCTCCCAGAGGGGTTGGGGAGCCCATGGATATTTATTTATCTTGATGGTGTATGGTGCTGGTGGTAGGGGTACTGGTAGTGAGAAAAATAACTAGTGTAGATTGGGGAGGTGGGGAATGGGGTCAAGATTTAGTCTTAATTTGACAGTAATAGTTTAAGCACCAAGAGAGCCAGACACAGTTTTGTAATTCTTGACAAGTTGAGACCATTTCAGTACTTTGGATTTTTTATATATGAATTTTTGTGAATTTTATTTGTGCATGCCTCCAGAGATGTATAAACTTGTGCGGTACTTTAAGACTACATAAGCACGAGCAGATGCTGATCAGATATCTCTGGGCCAAGAGGTTCTTTTCTTGCCTGTTCCAAGTAACAGAAGAGATGAGCAACTTTTCAGATTGCTCCCTGGGTTCAACAGGAGACCCCTCTCCCTGTCTTAGTCCAATTTAAAAATATGTGTATATATATATATATATATATATATATATACACACACACACACACACACACACACACACACACACACACACACACACAATATACATATATATGCACACATATATAATGTGTGTGTGTGTGTGTGTGTGTGTGTGTGTGTAAAACATTGGCCATTCAGTGTTGGGATAAAAATGAAGCTTAGCTTCCTCATCCTAAACCTGAAAGTCATTAGGTGGATTGAAAATGACATTATTAAGATAGGGAAAAAAAAATCTTCTCCCAAAGGCACAGGATCCTTAACTCCAAACTTTTCTGAGAAGGTCAGTGAGTGGGATGGGGTAGAGACTATGGTGGAAGGCAATCAATATTTGTAGTTGTTTTGAGATGTCTGCCTGTAGGCTTAAGGGGTCTAGTCTCTTGGAGGTCACCCAAAGGCCCCAAAGCTGTTACAGCTTGCTTTTTACCGGCACTTGGGTGTAGAAAAAAAAAAAGTCTGTCACCTGGGGCACCAGCAATCCCCTTTGAAATGAATAATCCTTCTGTTAGTTTCAGAAAATGTTCTACTCCCCCATCCTTTTTAAGGTGGCAGGAATAGGGAAGAGGGGAAAGGGATTTTCAAAAAAAAAAAAGAAAGAAAAGAAAAAGAAATACAGGAATCCTGAAATACAAATTCCTGTGAAGTCTGCTCTCAGTTGCTGAGTGGACTGCTCTAGTATTCCATGTTAGAATTGCTACACTGGAGTTATCCCATTAGTTTCTTGGGTAGGTTAAAGTGTGCCAGCCCTGCCTCTCTGTTTAACCCATTCAATGCAGGAATGAAAGAAAGCTAGAAAGTAAGGGAGAAGGATTAAGGTTTCCAGACATCTTTGAAGAAGTCTACAGAGACCCTTTGGAAGCCTAATAACTCGAACCTTGGAAAAGGTGGGAGTGGAGCAGGGAAAGGGTAGGCTACTCCTTCCACTTCCCAAGGTGATAATTGACTTCTGCTGCTGGGAAGAAACAACCTGTCCCACACAACCAAATTCATCAATCCCTCTTTCCAAGAGGTTTTCTGGTCAGCTATTCCTCCAAAGGTCTAGAGTTACTTTGGCTTAAGTAGGTTAAGAAAGAAACGTTATACTAGTATATCACACACCTACCTGTCTGGGGCTTCTGAGGGCAAAGAGTGTAGTCAAATAGAAACAGCATAAAGTATAGACAGTTAACAGTCCCCTTCTCCCCCTTCTCTTTATTATCTTTCTCCCAACCACACTTTTTAACTTCTCTATGTCCCCTTTACCCTGGATGGGGAGCCCAATCTGGTAAGGAAAGTAGTGAGTAGAAACATTAAGTTATCACGATCACTATGCCCTATACAACTACAAACACTTCAATTTTTAGAGTGGCAGATGAAGATAAGAGTGAGGGACATTTTTTGCCCCTAAACGATTCTTCTCTTTGGGTGGGGAACAATCTCAATGGTTAGTGGTTCTTACCTGGAGCCTGGCATGAAGTTCTCTGTGCTGCTTCTGCTACTGGAGTTAACTGGAACTCCTGTTGTTGCTGCTAAGTCAGGGGTATTCATTCTAATTAATGGTTGTAATCTCTCTTTGGCTTTGGAAACATTTTGGATGTGATCTTGGTTTGAGGGTGAGGGTAAGGGGAAGTATTTTCTTTGGTGATTAGGGGTGGGGAGAGGGAAGGACTTCAGGGAGAGAGAATGGATATGCCTGTAGAGAAACCTCCCCAATTTTTAATACTAGGTTACCCCACCCCCACTCCCTTTCTTTTTGCCAAAGGATAAGGGCTCCTTCACCAGATCTGTGGTTGAGAGGGACTTTGGTCTGGGCGCCAATGTTTTCACTAGGTTTAGTGATGTGTGTATGAGAAAGTGAGAAATAGATGGGGGCTCAGTTTTTAAAAAGATTTGAAGTAATGATTTGGGTACAGATCCAGACATTGAAGAGATGTGTTCAAGGACACTAGTGAATTTATGTTAAGGGGAACGTCTCTTACGGTAAATTAACTCCACTTGAATATTTATTCAAAGGGAAATCATCGACTTTTTGGAGTATATGGGATTGCGGAAGAGAAGGATACCTAGGAAAATGCCTAACGTAAAGGGATTAAGGATAAAGAATGGGGTAGATGAACTTTCGGATGTTTAAAAAATCACGGAGTAAAAACTGATTCGAGCTAACCGTCATTGCTTCTCATTGCTGTCATCAACATATGCCATCAGCTTCTCTATTACTTTACGGCTAAAAGGAAATTAAACTTATTTGAACGCTTCATATATGATTTAGCACGCATTGTGGGCACTCAGCAATGTATGCTCAAGGTTTCCTGAAGGGTTAACTAGCTGGAGTTTTTGTAGTTTCCTCGAATTTACCTGTATAACAGGAGACCCCCCCCTTCTCCCCGCCCCCCTTCCCACCCCCCTAGTGCCTTTCTTCTTTTGCCTCCTAAGTTTATAGGGACTGCAGCTGGTAGACTTGGCAAGCTTTCCTCATTAAGAGCCCTCTTTGAAAACGGGCTGTGTTTGAGCATTTCCCTAATGAGGACAGGACGGGGTTAAAAAGTGACCATTTCATGGTTGACTTGAACCTGCCTACTTTTCTTGATGTGTCGTAGTGAAATGCTTGATGTGAATAACTCCCACTTGGAAAAGGAAAAAGTCACTGGTTCCTTCAGGACAGCTTGGAGGTGTGGGGGGGAGTAGGGGGAAGGGGAAGAATAATGGGGGCAAGAAATAGAAAGGCGCGGGGAGGGGGTTACAGAAAAGAAAAAAAGAGATTCCAAGTACCCTAAAAAAGAGTAAAGTGAAAATGAGGCTGCTGCAGCAGCGGCAACAGCAGCAAACGCATAGCTTGTGGGCTGGGCTGCTCTCGACTCTGTACTGCTGGGACTAGTTGGGCAATGATCGCCCGGAACTGGTCCAACTCTTAGAGGCCCCCAGTTCCCTCCAGCCACTAGCTAGGTTTAAAAAACCTGAGTGGAGAAGGCACTTGCTTTCCTCCATTGTCTGAAATCCTCTCCCTTCTGCTTCTCCATCCATCCGCGTTTTGAAAATTGCCTTTGGGGTGGGGAGGGGTGCAGCTGAGAGAAAGAAGGGCGTTCATGGCATAAGCACCTCCCGTGAAAATATCCTAAATAAAGTTCATTCACTCTATCTCTAGAGAGAATCGAGTCTTCCAGACTTGGGGGGTTGGTGTGGGGAAAGCTATTCTGGAAGATTGAAAACAGACCCCGTGAAAGGAAAAAGCGCTACTGGAGTCGACGTTGCCTCCGGAGCTCTGGAGATACACGCGCGCGCGCATACACACACACACACACACTCACACTCACTCCACCCTGGGGCGCGAGGAGTAAAGGCTCCAAAGCCGCGCCGTTTCCCCCACCTCTCTTTGCACCCCAATAGGGAGGAAAAGGGGGAGGGAGGGTTCGCTTCCGTAGGCGCCCCGAGCCCCCGGGGGTGGAGACTCGGTGTAAGCCTATGTAGTCGGGTGGAGGAGGAGAGGAGAGGGGGAGGGGAATGTGGAGGAGGAGGAGGAGGCGGTGGCTCCGGGGCCCCGTCCTACAGCTTTGAGCGAGCAAGGCCACGTGCAAGGGGCACCCCGGGGGAGGGCGGCAAATCTCGGAGAACCGCTGCAGGCAGCTTCTCCTCTGTTACCCTGAGGCACTTAGTCTGGGCCGAGGGAGACCCCAGTGAACCCCCATCTCAGTGAAAATCTTCCTTCACTCCCAGACTCTTAAAGGTGCACAATTTATGATAAAATGCAGAGGAAGAGAAAAGTCGAGGAAGGGGCTTAAGTATAGACACCAAGATGTGCCCTGTTTTCTATACACCCTCCCTCAGTTATTTTGAATCAAAGTTCCCTTATTTGTCCACCAGCAACACAACCCACCCACAGACTGTGAGATAGAATGCACGATTTGGAGTCTAGAAGCCAGGGTTCAAATCCCGCCTCAAGCGCTATCCTCCCAGTGCCTCAGTTTCCGAATCAGTAAGAAGGGGAGATTGGCTGCCAGGGCCTCTCAGGTCCCTTTTAACTAAATGTATTATCCCTCCCGGCACATCCTCTCCACTCTCGCTTCTGTTCTCCTGGTCTTTGCTGCCATGCCTTCCCCTTTCAGTCTATCAGCCTAATCTCGAGACTGCTCCCCGAACCCAAAGGTTCCAGTCAGCTACCCTGCTGTGTGTGTGTGTGAATTTTCTATTTCTTCTCTCTGGAGCAGACAGGACTTACTGCCTCTCTCTCATCTCCTCGCTATCGCACAAATCAGCGCAGTGAAACCAAAATACCCCTTTCAGGGCGTGTGTGTCTCTGTGCATGTATGTGTGCTTGCGCGCGCGGCGATGTGGGAAAGTGGAGATGGAACAGAGGGTGTAAGGTTTGGCAAAGAGGAAGAAAGATGTTTGTAAAAAGTCGTGGTTCTGTATCAGTATGGGGGGGAAGAGAGAAGGAGGGGGAGAGGAAGAGAAGAAGAGAGAGGGAGAGAGGGAGAGAGAGAGACAGAGAGAGAGAGAGGAGAGAGAGGGAGAGAGGAAGAGTGAGAGGGAGAGAGGAGGAGAGGAGAGAGGGAGAGGGAGGGAGGGGGATGGGAGAGAGAGCGAGAGCGAGCGAGAGAGAGAGAGAGAGAGAGAGAGAGAGAGAGAGGTGGGGGCGGGGGTGTGTGAAGAGGCTGGTGCAAAAGGAATGTGCGTTTGCAGGAGGAGGAGGAGTAAAGCGATGATTGTGTAATTAAATAATAAAACAATCCTTAAGTCTGATTTGGAGAGAGCTGGAGAGGGGTCCAGAGGGTGTAGCCGGTGAATTTTTCAACTTTCAAGTTTTGCACCAAAAGTGTGGGGGGTGGGGGAGCCCAGAGCAGAAAACGGAGTTAGAAGAGAGAAGAAAAGGATTTATCGTTTGGATTTTTCAAGAAATCATTTCTGTTACAGTGGGCGTTGGGAAGCAAGCAGCCTCTTAGCGTTGCCCCATAAGACACGAAGAGGAGAGAGTCTTGGAGTCCGGGGAGGCTGAAGAGGCGGCTGGGGCTGCGGCAGCTGAGGCGGTGGCGGCGGCGGCGGCAGCAGAGGCGGCTGGGACTGGAGTTGGGGCTGGGGCTAGGGCTGCGGCTGCGGCTGCGGCTGCGGCGGCTGCTGCTGCTGCTGCTGCTGCTGTGCGTGCGAAGAACAGACGGGAGATTGCGTGGTGCGAAGCATTTTCCGCCCTTGGGACACACGCACACACTTGCCCCCCTCCCCCTACCTCATACATTCGGTCTCTCTCTTTCCCTCCTCATCTTTAGCCCCCTTGCGCGCGCGCTCTATTCCACACGCGCGCACACACCCTCGCAAACACACTCACATACACACACATACATACACACACTTACACTCACGACCTTCTGCTAGCAAAGTTTCGCCTCTGATCACTCCAGGATCTTCCTGCATTGCTCCGGACTATAACCTTGAACTTTCTCAGCCTGGTGAAACGTCCCTCTCCCCATCCGTCTTTCTCCTTTTCTTAAACGCAGCTTACCACAAGCAACAAGCAAACAAAACCAAACCGATTTTATCCCTCCAGGGTTCCCAACAAAGGCAGCAAAAACAAACAAAAAAGCAAAAAAAAAAAACAAGTAAGCCCCCAATCCGGGCCGAGACCCAGCTTGCAGCAGCCAGTACTACAGCAGCAGTGGCGGCGGCAGTGGCGGCGGCGGCGGCGGCGGCAGCAGCAGCAACAGCAACCACCAATACTGCTACTGAGCAGCGACAGCCAGAGGGTTAAAAGTGTAGATTGGATTTCACCCCGGGAAATCTAGCTCACGAAGTGAACTTGAATCTTTGGCTATTTAAGGAGGACTGGGTTTGTTGTTAAGTTGTGGTGATCCAGGGCAGAGCCCTCTCCTGATTGATCTCATCTTGAGTCTCAGATGACTGTAAAATGAATAGATGAAGTTATTGCTTCTGGAGGCTTTTCTTGGGGGATCTCCGGAAAGTGCGTTTTAAGGCGAAGTCATGATGTATTCGCCCATCTGTCTCACTCAGGTATAGATATACGAACGGTTTTGTTTTGTTTTGTATTGCGAACAACTAGCGGAGTTTAATTGAATGAACCAAAAAAAAAAGATGAAAAGTTTAAAAAGTCATTTTTTGGTTAGGGTGGGGAAGGGGGAGGCCAGTTTTTCTAGGGTCCAAGTGCATCCTGGAGGTTAATCCCCGTAGGGAAACCGGGTTATAAAAGAATTGAGATCCTTTAAGGGAGGAATATCCTAACCCCAAAGCAAGGGAAATATGCACTTGCTCCTTGAAAGTGAAGGAAAGGCCACTTCTGCACAAATGTCGAATTATGGTCTAAAACGTCAAATGGAGAAGGTGGTAAGGGGAATGGGGAGAATTGAAGGGAGAAAGTTTTAATTACTCACGAAGGAACAGGGCTTGAAATGCAACGACTAGAATTAATTTACTCTCTTTTAAACTCTACTGTTCTTTTGGGGCTCTAAATAATACAGGGAGTTTAGGGGACGTGGTTATTCGGTGTTCCTTAAACTAAGGTTGACTAATATAATGTAGGATTTTTCTTTAATCTGCTACCGATAATGGAAGAGAAGTTGACTATTTTCTTGCCTACTTTTGGAATCGGAAAGCCTTGACTACACGTTGTACAAAAAGAAAATATTTTAAGTACCTTAGTCATTAAAGATACCTTTAATTCGAACCCATGTGGTTGGCACTGATGGTTGT